CTGCTAGCAGCTAAACATGGGAGATGAAAGGGTACAAGGAAACTTTTTATTTTTTCATTATTATTTTATTTTATTTGCAGTGCCAGGGACTAAACTCAGGACCTTGAGCTTTCCAGGCAAATGATTATTCTACTGAGCTATCTCCCTGGTCCTATTTTATTTATTTTTGAGGCAAGGTCTTGCTATGTAGTTCAGGCTGGGCTTGACCTCAATATGTAGTCTAGGCTGGCCTGAAACTCACAGTAATTCTCTTGCCTCAGCTTCCTAAATGCTGGGATTACAGGTATGTACCACCATGCCCAGCTAGGGGGAACTTTTTAGTGATGGACACATTCTACTTCCAGATTTACATAACTGTATGCACTTGTCAAAATTCACCAAACTGTGTACTTAAGAATGTGAATAGCATCTCCAGTGACCCCAACTTAAAAAGAGTAACAAGGCAGGGATAGTATGACATGCACCTGTATAGCTAGCTACTCAATAGGCAAGATGGGAGGAAGGTTTGAACCCAAGAGTTAAGGCCAGCCTAGTAGGCAATAGGGAGACCATATCACCCCCACAAATAAACAAAAAAAAAAATCCCAAAACAAAAAACAAAAACAAAATATAGTGTCTACTGACTATTGGCTACCACATGAAGGATGCTCAGTAAAGTCAGGTTTCTTACTTGACTTAATCCTAGGGAATAATATAACTAGAAAGCAGTCAGTGCTGGGGATGAAGCTAAATGGCAGAGCCTGTGCTTAGCAGCCCTGAGTTCAAGCCACAGCACAAAAACAAACAACGCCCCCCCCCCAAAAAAAAAAGAGAGTGAGGAAAGAGAAAGAGGTGGGGAGGAGGAAGGAGAGAGCATTCAAATCATTTTCAGCTTTTGTTTGGTAAAGATATTCTTGCTAGAAAATACTGAACATACGGCTTTTTCATCAGAGACCTTAAGGCTACTTTAAGTTGGAGGCATGTGACAGGAAGGGTTGAGCTGCTGTAACATGGATGTATAGTCCCAGGCAGTGACTGACTATTGCTGTCCTCATCTAAAGGGAGAGTCTACTCTATGGATCCTTATCACATTATGATAGTTTGTGTCACATACTACCATCTCTTCACCTTTCCTTAGCTACTTGTCTATGGTGGCTAACTCACCCTGCTTCTTTAATTTCTAACACCAATCAGCAATCTTGAACCCTTCCTATTTATTTATTCAATGAACATTTTAGGCACACAGAGATCAATAAAATAAACCCCTGAATGGAGCTCAGAGACTTTCTAATATCTAAGAGACCACCAGCCAACACATAATCACAAATAATTACTATCATTAATATCACTTACAGAAATGACTATGTTCTAAAGCATTATGATAGATAATTTTTTAAAGACTATTCAAATAACCTTCAAATTTGGACACTTCCAAACAGATGACAATATTAAAACGTAAGATATTAAGGCACCAAGAAATTATTTTATTTTATTTTTGGGTGGTTCAGGCTGCCTGAAGGGCAGGTCTGGTAAGGCAAGTGGAGTGGGGGATCGAACCGTGGTATCCTGCATCTGATTGTGTTTGCATGAGCAGGCGCTTACACAACTGAGCTAACCGGCAGCACCCCCCCAAGAATTTCTAAGAAATGGACACAGAAATAAAACTAGAAAATATATGTAATTCAAAGCCAATTTTAAAGTAGTGGATCCAATTCTGGCTTATTTGGAATATATCACTAACAAAATCTTTTGAAGAAACAACTTGTTATTCTGCCCTTTGAAAAAAAAAATTCCCAATCTTAGCCTGTATTTGTAGGCCCTGTAGATAGACAAAATAACCTTAGCTTGAAGAAATATATATTCCCCTAAAAAAGCTAGTAATTCTTCACCCTGGTTGATTATCAGATTAGAAATGTAGTAAAATTCTATCACCCTTCTCCTAAGTCATCTCTAAATTGAAAATGTGTTATTTTTATAAAGATTTGTTACTCTGTTCTCACTAGCAAGCACTGTCAAACATGCTCTTATGATCGATGAAGGAGGAAGAGTTCACATTTATAGAATGTTCACTATATGCTAGATCTGATGCAGTAAATATGTCATCACTGTTTCTACATATATATATACACACACAGAGATACATACAAATGTACATACTAGAAGTAGCTCAGGAATATGCTAATTCTGAATGCACATAACTCAAATATATTATATTTAAATGCTATAAAAAGAAACCAAATACCAGAGATAGTCTACATTCATATATGTTAAGATAATAGTCAAATGATGGGTGTTGACCTAGTATTAATTTAAGTCTCTATAACACAACTAGAAACCAAGTGTGAAACATGCTTTGGGAAACTGAGGATCAAACTTGAAACCAGCCCAGACAATTCATCAACTTAAACTTTGCAAAGCAGAAAAAATAAAAAGGACTGGGAATGTGACTGGTGGTAAAGGCCCCAGTTGCAATTTCCAACACTGAAAATTTTGAAACAAAACAAAACGCAACTGAAATACTAGTCTAAACAGAACTATATAATAGAAGGGATGTGAATAACAAAACCAACACATTGGATTCTATAGGCCAAATGGTTAACACAGCAATTTTTTAATTACACAGTTGAAAAGATTACTAAGCTCTACAATTCTAAAAAGGTAATAGAACTCTAAAAATAAAGTGGCATGATTTTCTCAAAAAGCCATTTAGCTATTTCTGTTCTTTTCTCTCTCTTCACCCAGGTTTTGTGATGAGTTTCAGAATGCACTCTTCACTTAGTCATCTCCAACACCTAACAATTATGAGAAAGAAGCGAGCTACATTATATTCATTATCAGTGGTTAGCATCAGTATCTGAAGTAGCCTCATGTATTAACCAGTGGTTTATCTATCATGCTCTCCAAATATGTAATTTCACTAAAGTTTTGAAAAGCAAAAAGCAAAACTGTCATGCTTAAAGAATGCTTTAGAAGGATGATTCTGTGGTCCAGAAGGCATCAGTGGTAAAGTCACAGTGGTAAAAATATGATGCACTGACCTGTTTTAATTAAGAGTATGGAAAGTGAAGCATCAGAAGGTACTAAACAAAGAATTAGCTGGGAAGATAGTTCAGTAGAATAAGCGCTTGTCTGGCATGTGCAAGGTCCTGAGTTCAATCCCCGATACCACAAAAAAGAAAAAAGAAACTAAAAAAAAAAAAAAGAATTGCCTGAAGTAGCAAAAAAACAAAACAAAACAAACAAACAAACAAAAAAAACCTCCAAAGAATATCTGTTTGGTAGAACTTTCTGAGATGATGTAAATGTTATGGCCTCAAAGTACATCTACTTACCTACAAGCTTACCCTTACTTATGATAAAGGAGCACTCCATTGTATATAAATACCACTTTATCCAGTCAGTTACTGATGGACATATAGGGTGCTTCCAAGAGTTGACTACTATTAATTGTGGCGCTATAAACAAGGTATGCATGTATGCCTGTAATATGATGACTTTAACTCTTTGGGGTAAATACCTTGAAAGGTATTTTGTTTTGTTTTGTTTTTTAATGTATTTGGTACAGGGTCTCACTATGCAGCTCAGATTTATAGTGAACCTTCTGTTCTCAGTTTCCCCAGACCTGGAATTACAGGCATGCACCACCAATCCCAGACTTGGGGAGGCTGGCTCAGCACAGTTGAGGATGGGGCGGTGCAGCATGTGGTGTCAGGGATCGAACCTCTGTCCCTGCACTTGCCTAAACAGGCACTTAAGTCTGCCAAGCTATCTCACCGGCCTTTAAATTCTTAATTAGTTAAAAATTACTGTCTTTGTTACTGTGTAGTACTTTCAAATTAACTTTTTGACATTATGGACAACTATCCACTCAACAAGCATTATTAATGAACATTGTTTCCAATATTATTCTTTTATATATAATGCAAGGTGTTATAAGGTGGATAAATGTTTATGAAGTAAAAGAAAATTGGTCCCGTGTTGCCTTCTTTTATGTTCATTCTGTGTATAAACCTAACATTTTAAGTTTATGATTAAGCTTGTGGCAAGTGTAACCTCTTTTATGAGATGAAGAACTCTTCAAACTTGGGTAAGAACACATTACTACTGAAATTAGTAATCTGATTTTAAACATACATACATAATTCATTTTAAAAATGTTGTATCAATCCATACAATTCCATACCATGTCCAAGATGGAAGCAATGTTCACATTAATGCTTTTCAAAATAATTTTTAAGAATATATTTGTAGGCAACTTGTTACAATTTAACTGTGGAAGACAAAATTCAAAATAACAGTGGCTGATGGGAGACTTTTCTCACATTAATCCTTAAAAATAGTTCTGATGAGGCAAAAAACAAAAACATGACTTTGAGTCTAACATAAAACAGAACTTATTTTATTTTTCATGCAAATCATGTTTTCAAAACTTCCTATATTTCTAGGCTTAAATCTCTGAATATACAACATGTACTTTATTAACAATGTTCTGACTTGGCTTGATGAGTGGAAACAAGTTAAAAGAGGACAATGCAACTGATCAAACACTATATGGTAACATCTAAACTACTGCTTTGTGAAGGTGGTGGAATACTACCGTTTTTAATTTAAGTATTAAAAAAGTAGTTTTTTACCTACATTTACCTTGCATTTACTTATAATCAGCTAATAAGACTTACCACAAAATTAAGAAATCATCATCTAGATTTCTTAATCTAACAGTTTAAGCATCATACATTTTCTCAATTCTAAATAGTGCAGACAGTATGTCAGTAACTACCAAGATAATAAATTTGGTTTCAGGCAAGCACACATTCTAAATAACACACCAGGACACGTTTACACAGAGGCAGGGGGTTTGAGGTCAGACATATGCAGTATTCTAAGCTTGACAATATTTCAAGAGGAATACTTTAAATCTGCATTTATATGGTTAAGGAAAATCATTTATAAAAATATTTTAAACTTCTACCAAAAATAACTCTATCTTCCATCTTCCACAATAAACACAAGCTGCTTACCATTCATAGCTGTGGGAAACTGAGCCATCATGGTCCTGAATTTTCCTTGCTAGCTGTCAGCCATCTGCAACATAAAAACATGGTGCCATTAATAATACAACAAGGGCAGACCACAGCTTAGTTCACTCACTAAAGCAGCGGGAATGTCTGTCCCCTTCAGTTCACACCTCCACACAAAACAATGCAGAGCTCCTTGCTGCTGAACAGGCAGAATTTGCATTTAAGGACCAGAGGGGGAATCTGTTGAATAATGGTTCAAAACCCCATCACATGAAAGAAACCATATAAACGCATGGTTAAATACATAATCATACAGAAAAAGAGATTCACATGTTTAACAACAAATACTGAATAAAGGAACCCTTAATATAAACCAACACTGTTGGAGAAATAAGGGAAAAGGGTTGGTACAACTAGGTAAGAACTTATTTCAGAGAAATCAAATATAGTATATAACATGGATAATTTCAATATCTTCCTGAACAGGGCTGGCCAAATAGCTCAGTGGATTAAAAGTGCCTGCAAGCAGGTGCTGGGGTCAGGGATTGATCCCTGATTCCTGGGGCCTGCTATGCCGGCCTTGCCCCTGGGGCATGTTGAAACAGTTATTGAGATGGCAACTGAGACTGTGTGCCTGTAATCCCAGCTCTTAGGAGGCTGTAAACAGGCGGATCACCACAAGTCCGATGGAGCAGTGAGACCCTGAACACCCTGTAGACCATTCCCTAAAATATAAAAAACAAAAACAAACAAACAAAAAAAAAACCCTGAACAAGAAAAATATCTAAAATAATTGTAACATAGGTGTTTAATAGAGTTCCAAGGTTTTTTAAATGGCCTAAGAACCAGTGAGGACATACAGCCCAATCTAACATACTCTAGACCTTGGGTTTAATCTCCAGCACCACAAAAAAAGTATATATATATAACATACATACACACACACCCCCCCTAACTAAACATGTTAGGTATGCACTCTGCATTAGTAAAAGAATTTTTGGAAATGCAGCTGTGGGCTCAAATTTGCTCTACAGATTCCTAGCTGTGACCATGGAAAAGTTATTTAACCTTTTCAGGTCTCACATTCCTTAGGTATAAAAATATCCTGCAGAGTATTTTAAAAAGTATTAAACAAGCCAGGCATGGTAGCATACACCTGTAATCCCAGCATTCTAGGAGGGTGAGGCAGAAGGTTAGAAATGGTATCAGAGTCTACGGCCATACCACCCTGAACGCGCCCGATCTCGTCTGATCTCGGAAGCTAAGCAGGGTCGGGCCTGGTTAGTACTTGGATGGGAGAAATGGTATCAGAAATCTGATACCATCTCAGCCAATTTAGTAAAATACCTTCTAAAAATTTAAAAGGGGGAGGGCTGGGAGTGTATGTTTATGCAAAGGCTCTGGTTTAATCCTTAGTACCACCAAAAGAAAAAAAGAAAAAAATGTTAAAACACAATCAGGTACATTGCCTGATACAAATGGCCACTATTTTGCAAAAATCTGAGAGAGTAGATCCCATTACTTTGAATATTGAATTTATTATTTAATTGTAAATAAACTCAAAATTCAAAACTTGTTCCATGTATCATGAAGCTGGGGCCAGTCAGAGAGTGAAGGCCCAGCAAAGTTATGGTAATATATTTGGTAATTAAAACCAAGGGTTCTAATATTGCAAGAAAACATTACTGTTCTATATTTTATTCATTTATCCAAATATTTTGAGTATTAATATTTCAGAAGTCACAGAAAGTATTTGTATAGGGCATTTTTAAGAAAGCCAGTAAAAAATGGTACATATGCGGACAGAAATTATCACTAGAAAAACTGGCTGTCTAGCTGTCAGTAGGTACAAGGTACCACTATCCCAGTGAAGTCAGTATACCCAAGGAGCTAGTCCTCAGATTTAATGACCCAGAAATATGAATACATTTTTATACTTATTCAGTGACATTAACAAAAGAAAAAAAAACCTGGTACATGAATCTTATTTATAAGAGAAATGACAGCATCTTTCCTTCTTACAGAACAAACTACTTTGTGTGTATTTTAAGCAGATCACTGTGTGATAATCAAAAGGAATTAACTGGGATTAGACAGCTTAATGACATCAGACTGACAATCTGATAAGATTCTTCTAGCTGAGCCATGACCAGGCAATGGGGATGGATACACCTCCACTGAAGGCTTAAAATAGCACTGCTGATGTGACTCTTTTGACTCCTAACTTTTTTATATGGTGCTATGATAATATTCAAAGTGTATATTCTTTATTTAGATCTCAATAAACTTTACTGCAATGCAGCTTTAAAGCTGTTACCACCCTTACACTTTATAGGCTGGGTGAAACTTTACCTGTGTACACACTATTTGTCTTCATTCCTGTTTTAAGAGTTAAATTCAAGGTAATGAGATTGTTCTTAGAAAAGTACCATCAAAACCACAGTGGATGCATTGTGGGGGTTGTGGTTGGAATTCCTACAGGAGCTACTGTGTTGAGACTTCAAGGATGAGCAAGAATTACTTATTCAATTAAGAAGTTTGGACTTGGGGCTGGTAA